CACCCAACACCTGGAGGCACAGGTGGCCCCGCAGGTGGTGTAGGTACTCACCCAACACCTGGAGACACAGGTGGACACCGCAGGTGGTGTAGGTACTCACCCAACACCTGGAGACACAGGTGGCCCCGCAGGTGGTGTAGGTACTCACCCAACACCTGGAGACACAGGTGGACACCGCAGGTGGTGTAGGTACTCACCCAACACCTGGAGACACAGGTGGCCCCGCAGGTGGTGTAGGTACTCACCCAACACCTGGAGACACAGGTGGCCCCGCAGGTGGTGTAGGTACTCACCCAACACCTGGAGACACAGGTGGCCCCGCAGGTGGTGTAGGTACTCACCCAACACCTGGAGACACAGGTGGACACCGCAGGTGGTGGGCGGATAGTGGCAAATATAACCACCTGCAGCTGGGTTGTTGAACCTTACCTGTTGGAAGAGAGAAAAATGGTAAGAATACACAGTAAGTCATACTACCGTAGCTGCAATTTACACTCCCAGCCCACAAATCTGAAAATACTGGACGGCCCAGAATTTTGAGATATATACAAGAGTTGTTACATACGAATACGTATGTATTCGTATGTAACAACTATGTATTCGTATACATACCCTGGAATACGATCCCCTGCCGCGAAGAATCGTTTTTTTCATCCAAGTACACATTTTACTGTTGCGTTAAACAGAGGCTACTGTTAAGGATTTGCGCCCAGTAAATCCTCCCCGGCCAGGATACGAACCCATGACATAGCGCTCGCGGAACGCCAGGCGAGTGTCTTACCACTACACCACGGAGACCACGAATTCTTATATTATCATATTTGTGGGCTGTGTGGCCCAATATTAAGTGCGGCAAGTCTTATCTACTGTCACAGTGTGGGAAGTATTGTCCCCTGTTGCGTGCGTTAAACACATCACCCACGTGGCCTAGTAATTACCCCCCCCCCCCAACAACCTCCCCCATCAATCCCCCCCCCTCCCTGATATTTGACAGTCGCGTCTGTCTCCAATATCCGAGGACGGGTGTTCGAGCCCCCTAGTGCCCAAGTGAGAGAAATGGCAGCGTGCTAACAAACCATATATACTTAATATATGGTTGGATATCCTTGGCCTATGATATCTTCCTGAAGTGTGCGACGCAGGATGATGCGGAGCCCAGGATCTAGCGCCCGACCCGGCAAGTACTCACACACACACATATTAACTAATTTTCCCACATATGTAAACACAGCCAGTGAGTGCAGCAGTGCTCTCAGCACTACGACACTAGCTTTAATACCTTTAATTAATATAATCCGGATTTGTTTTAACCCTTTAACTGTGATTTGACAAGACCTCTCTCTCTGTCTGTCTCTGTCTGTCTCTCTCTCTCTCTCTCTCTCTCTCTCTCTCTCTCTCTCTCTCTCTCTCTCTCTCTCTCTCTCTCTCTCTCTCTCTCTCTCTCTCTCTCTCTCTTTTTTCTCATTAGGTACACACTTTACTTAATATTAATTTACAATCATATTATTCAGCCGAGGAGCAAATAATTGATAATGTAAATTTTTGTTGGAATGGTATAGCCAGTGATGATGCTGCTATTGGCTGAGCGCCTTGTGTTGTAGTTGCTATCATCTGGTTGTCTACAAGGCCACCGACATCTCTCTAAAACCTGACCAACAAGAATGGACCAAGGCTGGAGATCTGTCGTCTTGCTGGGTTCACTGCCTTGCCCAAGAGTCGGAGAAAGTATAGATGGGAGGGAGATTAACATCCAAAGATAATGGTAATATTCAAGATGTGAACAAACTGGCTCTTAAATATGAGATTATACAACCATTTCCTTATGGGTCTAAGAGTCAAGGCTGCCATCTTTGCGTGGATCTTCATGCTCATTGCAGAATCAAACTTCATCCTAAGACGTCACCATCAATGAAAACTAAATTTGTACACAATTTGTATTCCTGTGATCTTAGTTGCCAAATCATGTTGACCAGCCATCATGCCACTATGGGGGTTCTCTACACATAAATATAATCTGTCAGTCCCTACACCTGGTACAAGTTACAGCCCCGCTCCTGTGCCAGGTAAGTTCACTACGGGCTCACCATAGCCCGTGCTACTTGCAACTTTTTGTTCCTAGTAGTTGACTCTTAAACAACAACAACAACATACACCTGGCAGATATTGCTGCATGTTCTCATTAACGAAATACCTGACAGTTGGCATTTCTTGTCCTCGATAAGTACAGGAAAATTTCCGCCACTTGCAGGAGTTTGGGCGTGAGGGACGTGGTCCACACGGCCGTCCAAGATGACAGTCTAAACATGGAGTCAAGCAAACTAATATTTTCGCCAGCATCATTACTTCCCTTCCCTTCCCTTCCCTTCCCTTCCCTTCCCTCCCCTACCCTTCCCTTCCCTTCCCTTCCCTTCCCTTCCCTTCCCTTCCCTTCCCTTCCCTTCCCTCCTTCCCTTCCCTTCCCTTCCCTTCCCTTCCCTTCCCTTCCCTTCCCTTCCCTTCCCTTCCCTCCCCTTCCCTTCCCTTCCCTTCCCTCCCCTCCCCTCCCCTCCCCTTCCCTTCCCTTCCCTTCCCTTCCCTCAATCTACCTCTCCGTCCCCTCTAACCAACTTTGCGTTCTTGCTCATCAACTTAGTTTGTGTCATCTCACTTCACCAGCTCGTGCCTCTGAGCGAATATTTTCCTATACGCCTTTCCTTCTTCTTCTTCTTCCCTTCCTCATTTCTTCCCAGCCTCGCTATATTACTGATCCTCAGCCCTCCCCTCTCCCTCACCTTTCCCCTTTCCCCAGTAAACGTCACCAAACCGCCGCTTTATCCGGCCACACATCCTGGTTATCGTCCCCCTGGATGGGTTTACGCCGACACCGCCGACGGCGTCCTCCCTCCGCCTCGACCTGCAACCTCGCTCACAGGGAAAAAGAAAAGACGCGTGATAAATATACGGTGGAATGTAAGACGGATTGGATTCGTCTTCACGAACGCTATGCGGCCAGGAGACGTCTTCCCGAACGCTATGCGGCCGGGAGAGTTCCTTGTTTGTGTGTTCTTGAAAGTTCGTGGGACGTGAACGCCAGCTGATGGAGACCGCAGGTATCGGTTTTCTGGTGAAACGACTCCCGTCTCTTTTTGCCCTTTTGTCACGCCTGAAGAAAATTCTCAAACGGACTGAATCCTATGCCTTTACTGATGGCTCTGTGCAGTTAGGCACTGGTAGAACAGGTTGTGCATGTGTAGTGTATAAAGGGAATGAAATGATCATGATTAGTACACAGAGATTGAACAACTGGGCAAGCACGACACAGACCGAGCAATTGGGTATTTATCTAGCCACTGAATACCTTAAGCTCAATGGTGGTGGAGTTATTTTCTGTGACTCTAAAAGTGCTCTGCAGTCCTTAAATAACCCATCACAATGTATGTCGGAAGTAGCTTGTAATATTAAATGGAATGGAATTTTTGCCAATGATAATAATTCTTGTATAAAATGTGTGTGGATCCCATCCCATGTTGGAGTTGGAAAACATGACTTTGTAGATCAATTGGCCAATGAGGCTTGCAGGAAAGAAAACATTGATTATGACTTTGGACTATCTAATGCAGTTATTACAAACATACAAATTAAAGAAATTAATTCAGATTTAGAAGAACTAAGAAATGCCCAGAGACCTGAAAGCTGCAGTATTAAAAGTTATGACAAGTTTTGTAATAATAGGTATTTGTATGGTCAGCACAGTAACCGGACCAGGCAATGTGATGTAGTCATTGCTGTAATTCGCCTTGGCTATAGACACATCTGGCAGGTTAGTGAGGCTGAGCCACTACCAGAATACTCAGATTGTAAACTCTGTGATAAACCTTTAATGCATTCACTAGAACACTATATTGATGAATGTGAAACCGTAAAGGACTTTAGACCTCCTGGCCTCTTGTACCACCAACTGTGTAACTACTTTATTGACTCAGGTGTTCTGGACGACATCCTAAGAATTTATCCAAAATTTGGTGATGGGTGAGGTGGAGGAGTGGTTGATGGGTGAGGTGGAGGAGTGGTTGATGGGTGAGGTGGAGGAGTGGTTGATGGGTGAGGTGGAGGAGTGGTTGATGGGTGAGGTGGAGGAGTGGTTGATGGGTGAGGTGGAGGAGTGGTTGATGGGTGAGGTGGAGGAGTGGTTGATGGGTGAGGTGGAGGAGTGGTTGATGGGTGAGGTGGAGGAGTGGTTGATGGGTGAGGTGGAGGAGTGGTTGATGGGTGAGGTGGAGGAGTGGTTGATGGGTGAGGTGGAGGAGTGGTTGATGGGTGAGGTGGAGGAGTGGTTGATGGGTGAGGTGGTGGAGTGGTTGATGGGTGAGGTGGGGGAGTGGTTGATGAGTGAGGTGGGGGAGTGGTTGATGGGTGAGGTGGAGGAGTGGTTGATGGGTGAGGTGGAGGAGTGGTTGATGGGTGAGGTGGAGGAGTGGTTGATGGGTGAGGTGGTGGAGTGGTTGATGGGTGAGGTGGGGGAGTGGTTGATGAGTGAGGTGGGGGAGTGGTTGATGGGTGAGGTGGAGGAGTGGTTGATGAGTGAGGTGGGGGAGTGGTTAATGGGTGAGGTGGGGGAGTGGTTGATGGGTGAGGTGGGGGAGTGGTTGATGAGTGAGGTGGGGGAGTGGTTGATGAGTGAGGTGGGGGAGTGGTTGATGGGTGAGGTGGGGGAGTGGTTGATGGGTGAGGTGGAGGAGTGGTTGATGGGTTAGGTGGGGGAGTGGTTGATGAGTGAGGTGGGGGAGTGGTTGATGAGTGAGGTGGGGGAGTGGTTGATGGGTGAGGTGGGGGAGTGGTTGATGGGTGAGGTGGAGGAGTGGTTGATGAGTGAGGTGGGGGAGTGGTTGATGGGTGAGGTGGAGGAGTGGTTGATGAGTGAGGTGTTAAGGTCTCTCATTACCTCACAATCTCCCCCCCCCCCCCACGTCCTCAGCTGTCGGACACACGCAAATCCCTGAATTTACAAGCTTCGTGTCAAAATGAATATTAGCATACTGGCACCTTGGCCTCCACAGCACCTTGGCCTCCACAGCACCGTGGCCTCCACAGCACCGTGGCCTCCACAGCACCGTGGCCTCCACAGCAACGCGGCCTCCACAGCACCGTGGCCTCCACAGCACCGTGGCCTCCACAGCACCGCGGCCTCCACAGCACCGCGGCCTCCACAGCACCGTGGCCTCCACAGCACCGTGGCTTCCACAGCACCGTGGCCTCCACAGCACCTTGGCCTCCACAGCACCGTGGCTTACACAGCACCGTGGCCTCCACAGCACCGTGGCCTCCACAGCACCGCGGCCTCCACAGCACCGTGGCCTCCACAGCACCGTGGCTTCCACAGCACCGTGGCCTCCACAGCACCTTGGCCTCCACAGCACCGTGGCCTCCACAGCACCGTGGCCTCCACAGCACCGTGGCCTCCACAGCACCGCGGCCTCCACAGCACCGTGGCCTCCACAGCACCGTGGCTTCCACAGCACCGTGGCCTCCACAGCACCTTGGCCTCCACAGCACCGTGGCTTACACAGCACCGTGGCCTCCACAGCACCGTGGCCTCCACAGCACCGTGGCCTCCACAGCACCTTGGCCTCCACAGCACCTTGGCCTCCACAGCACCGTGGCCTCCACAGCACCGTGGCCTCCACAGCACCGTGGCCTCCACAGCACCGTGGCCTCCACAGCACCGTGGCCTCCACAGCACCTTGGCCTCCACAGCACCTTGGCCTCCACAGCACCGTGGCTTCCACAGCACCGTGGCCTCCACAGCACCTTGGCCTCCACAGCACCTTGGCCTCCACAGCACCGTGGCCTCCACAGCACCGTGGCCTCCACAGCACAGTGGCCTCCACAGCACCGTGGCCTCCACAGCACCTTGGCCTCCACAGCACCGTGGCTTCCACAGCACCGTGGCCTCCACAGCACCGTGGCCTCCACAGCACCGTGGCCTCCACAGCACCGCAGCCTCCACAGCACCGTGGCCTCCACAGCACCGTGGCCTCCACAGCACCGCGGCCTCCACAGCACCGCGGCCTCCACAGCACCTTGGCCTCCACAGCACCGTGGCTTCCACAGCACCGCGGCCTCCACAGCACCGCGGCCTCCACAGCACCGTGGCCTCCACAGCACCGCAGCCTCCACAGCACCGTGGCCTCCACAGCACCGTGGCCTCCACAGCACCGTGGCGCCACTAAGCGATTATCGATATACGAAGTATAGATTTTGGGAGCAGGTGCGGGCGCTGACCGCTCGTAGGGAAAATGGTGGCTGATGCCAGACCTTTGTTGAACTAATATCAACATTTTTACAGACATTTTTTATATTTCTGTAATAATTAAGGCGGCAGGGAGGCCTCCTTGGAGACTCTAGCCGGTTCCCATCTTGGTGGGACGTTGTATAAGCTGGTCTTAAATTGGGTAAACAATCTCTTTCTTTATCGTGTCTCACGAAAATGTTTGTATATTGTTAGCATTGTTAAAGCACTGTACAATCACCTGTGGTTGCGTCCTCAATGACCAACTGTGCATTTGAAAGAGAATATATTCAACCCTGTTGTTTGTTTGACAGGCGTGTGTATGTATGTATGTATGTATGTATGTATGTATGTATGTATGTATGTATGTATGTATGTATGTATGTATGTATGTATGTTGTCAACACATCTCTCACCCTGTCCATGGAGGACAGAAAAAACTATATACAGGCCACTCCATTGTATAATGTATGGTCACGTCTGCGGTAGAAAATATACTTAAAACCCTTCTCCATTTTGTATTTGTATACAAGTTTGTAATAAACAATAAAAAACTCTAGATTGACTTGACACACACCTATTTGTACTCACCTATTTGTGCCTGTAGGAACCAGTATTATCTCTTGGATCCCATCTGTCTAACCGGTTAGATGGTCGTTTAATGCAATGGCTTCTACCTCTATTCCTCAATCACGTCTACTTTTGAAATTATGAATGTAGTTTGGCTTCAATAACTTGTTCATTTAGATCATGTTTTCCACTACTCTTATGCTAAAAGAGAAATGTCTCACATCAGTGTGAGACATTTAGTTCTCTTGTTGGGCACAGGGAGATTGTTAGGCTTATCTCAGTCCTCCCTTAGCCATGGCGAAGCTGTCAGCGCTGTCACCCAACCAGTTGGTGGCCACACTCAAGGGTACTGAACCGAGTGACGGGCCTGATCAATGTTTATTGTATTATGAGAGCATATTCTAGTCATCCCTGGGGGTGTGTTCTCGTACTCTACATTATGAATGGCCGGAGATGGTAATATCCATGATACAGTTCCCAGCCATGATACAGTTCCCAGCCATGATACAGTTCCTAGCCATGATACAGTTCCCAGCCATGATACAGTTCCCAGCCATGATACAGTTCCCAGTCATGATACAGTTCCCAGCCATGATACAGTTCCTAGCCATGATACAGTTCCTAGCCATGATACAGTTCCCAGCCATGATACAGTTCCTAGCCATGATACAGTTCCCAGCCATGATACAGTTCCCAGCCATGATACAGTTCCCAGCCATGATACAGTTCCCAGCCATGATACAGTTCCCAGCCATGATACAGTTCCCAGCCATTATACAGTTCCCAGCCATGATACAGTTGCTAGCCATGATACAGTTGCTAGCCATGATACAGTTCCCAGCCATGATACAGTTCCCAGCCATGATACAGTTCCCAGCCATGATACAGTTCCCAGCCATGATACAGTTCCTAGCCATGATACAGTTCTTAGCCATGATACAGTTCCCAGCCATGCTACAGTTCCCAGCCATGATACAGTTCCCAGCCATGATACAGTTCCCAGCCATGATACAGTTCCCAGCCATGATACAGTTCCCAGCCATGATACAGTTCCTAGCCATGATACAGTTCCTAGCCATGATACAGTTCCCAGCCATGATACAGTTCCCAGCCATGATACAGTTCCTAGCCATGATACAGTTCCTAGCCATGATACAGTTCCCAGCCATGATACAGTTCCCAGCCAATATACAGTCCCCAGCCATGATACAGTTCCCAGCCATGATACAGTTCCCAGTTATGATACAGTTCCCAGCCATGATAAAGTTCCCAGCCATGATACAGTTCCTAGAAATGATACAGTTCCTAGCCATGATACAGTTCCTAGCCATGATACAGTTCCCACCCATGATTCAGTTCCCAGCCATGATACAGTTCCCAGCCATGATACAGTTCCTAGCCATGATACAGTTCCTAGCCATGATACAGTTCCTTGCCATGATACAGTTCCCAGCCATGATACAGTTCCCAGCCATGATACAGTTCCTAGCCATGATACAGTTCCTAGCCATGATACAGTTCCCAGCCATGATACAGTTCCCAGCCATTATACAGTCCCCAGCCATGATACAGTTCCCAGCCATGATACAGTTCCCAGTTATGATACAGTTCCCAGCCATGATAAAGTTCCCAGCCATGATACAGTTCCCAGCCATGATACAGTTCCTAGCCATGATACAGTTCCTAGCCATGATACAGTTCCTAGCCATGATACAGTTCCCAGCCAAGATTCAGTTCCCAGCCATGATACAGTTCCCAGTCATGATACAGTTCCTAGCCATGATACAGTTCCTAGCCATGATACAGTTCCTAGCCATGATACAGTTCCCAGCAATGATACAGTTCCCAGCCATTATACAGTTCCCAGCCATGATACAGTTCCCAGCCATGATACAGTTCCCAGCCATGATACAGTTCCCAGCCATGATACAGTTCCCAGCCATGACACAGTTCCCAGCCATGATACAGTTCCCAGCCATGATACAGTTCCCAGCCATGATACAGTTCCCAGCCATTATACAGTCCCCAGCCATGATACAGTTCCCAGCCATGATACAGTTCCCAGCCATGATACAGTTCCCAGCCATTATACAGTCCCCAGCCATGATACAGTTCCCAGTCATGATACAGTTCCCAGCCATGACACAGTTCCCAGCCATGATACAGTTCCCAGCCATGATACAGTTCCCAGCCATGATACAGTTCCCAGCCATTATACAGTCCCCAGCCATGATACAGTTCCCAGCCATGATACAGTTCCCAGCCATGATACAGTTCCCAGCCATTATACAGTCCCCAGCCATGATACAGTTCCCAGCCATGATACAGTTCCCAGCCATGACACAGTTCCCAGCCATGATACAGTTCCCAGCCATGATACAGTTCCCAGCCATGATACAGTTCCCAGCCATTATACAGTCCCCAGCCATGATACAGTTCCCAGCCATGATACAGTTCCCAGCCATGATACAGTTCCCAGCCATTATACAGTCCCCAGCCATGATACAGTTCCCAGCCATGATACAGTTCGCAGCCATGATACAGTTGTGTCTTAAACAGGAACTTATGGACGAAAACTCAATACATAGAGGGCACTGTAAAGACTTGTAGGGACAGGTGAATTAGGTCAAGGGTACAGGTACAGTGATACAGTGAATTCAATTCTAACTCCTTGACGGAGGGAAGTCTCTAGTGTTGGTAACTGTGTGACTCACCATAGATGTTAAGTGCCTTGTATAGTGACTAAAGTTGTTTTCACATATTCAAACATTAAAACATTGATTGTAACCACGATATATATATGCTTCAGCCTACAGTTTAGACTTATAGTCTTGTGTATGACTCTCTGTCCTGTGTGATAAGGCCAGCATTATGCTCACTTTAATAAGACTTAACTGAAATCCTCAGATTAGGCAAAATTGTAATTAATTTTGTCAATAAAGATGTTAATAATAATAATGTATAATGACTTGTAAGCCTCTTGTTCAATAACTTTTGATATAAAAGATTATTGACATGTGTATATATGATTATATATATATATATATATATATATATATATATATATATATATATATATATATATATATATATATATATATATGTCGTACCTAGTAGCCAGAATGCACTTCTCAACCTACTATGCAAGGCCCGATTTGCCTAATAAGCCAAGTTTTCATGAATTAATGTTTTTTCGACTACCTAACCTACCTAACCTAACCTAACCTAACTTTTTCTGCTACCTAACCTACCTAACCTAACCTAACCTAACTTTTTCTGCTACCTAACCTAACCTAACCTATAAAGATAGGTTAGGTTAGGTTAGGTAGGGTTGGTTAGGTTCGGTCATATATCTTCGTTAATTTTAACTCCAATAAAAAAATTGACCTCATGCATAATGATATGGGTAGCTTTATCATTTCATAAGAAAAAAATTAGAGAAAATATATTAATTCAGGAAAACTTGGCTTATTAGGCAAATCGGGCCTTGCATAGTAGGCTGAGAAGTGCGTTCTGGCTACTAGGTACGACATATATATATATATATATATATATATATATATATATATATATATATATATATATATATATATATATATATATATATATATATATATTGTGACGATAATCTCTTTCAAGAGAGATTGAGCCTGCTCTTCCCTTCAAAGTACGTAAAAACAACAGATAATATAGAAGATATATCCAGCAAGTATCTCCAAAACGTTTTGCCCAGAGAGCAAAACGTATCCAGCACACAAGCACACCTGCTACCGCCCGCCACCGTTAACCGGCAAACTGCTTGTCCATTGCCTGCCTGTCGCTGATTGGCTGGTGTCCTGTCGCACCTGCCCTCCACCCTCCGCCACAAGTTGATGTCTGGGCTGCTGTGGCCCAGAGTCATCAGAATATTCCAGTGCTCCTTGCAGTTGACATCTCTCATTGGTAGACTAAGCCTTGGCTTTCGTGTACTAAGGGAGGTGGCACCTCGAAGCCAATATTCCGGCATCATTATTATATATTTTGCTATTACTCACTTGTCTTAACGTAACTTTTCATTTGCCAGTGATTATTCTTATCATTTTGTTTGTTGACTTGTCTTTTATATTTTATACTTAATTTTATTCATGTCTTGTTTTTCTAACGTAATTAAAATTTCATTGTTAAATTTACTTGTGTTTTGTGTGTCTCCCCATTTACCTTACCACAGACAAAAGTTCCAGCTTTTTCTCTTTTTTTTTCTTTAATGTGACGAGGCCCTGCCTCTAGCTTTTGAAACAGCCGAACACCAACGCTTTACCGTCACAATATATATATATATATATATATATATATATATATATATATATATATATATATATATATATATATATA